ATTTATTTTTTCCAAAACGAACACTTTTGCCCGCGGCTATTTTCTTGGCGCGGCGAAACGCCTGTGCCCGTCGCATGCATGGTAGCGCGGCGAGAGGGATGACGTGGCGCTGACCGGTGACGTGGCAGGGTCTGCCGCGCCACCGATCTTGGCGCGGCAGTGACGCGCCCTGATCGGTGGCGCGGCAGGGCCAGGTAAAGGCCCGCGGCCCAGTCCCGCCGTGCCACGCCCTGCCCACCGCATGCACGCCCGCGCCCGCCCGCCTGCCCGCACGCGGCTGCGGTGCCCGCACGCGCCTGTCGGCTGCCGCGTCTGGCCACCTGCCTGCAGCGCCCGCCCGCCACGCCACTCCCGCCGCTCCCGCACGCCGCCGCACCGGCCACGCCATGAACGCCGGCGCGCCACGGCCGCCGCCCGCCCTCTGCGCCCGCACGCCGGCGCGCCACCCCCTCCGCCCGCCCGCCGCGCCCTCCGACCACACATGGTGGCTGTCCGCCGCGCCCAGCACCGCCCTCTGCAGCGCCCGCGACTGCCGCCGCCGCCCTCACAAGGCCAGCAGGCATAGAAGACGAGGACAGCAGGTCCATACATAGAAGTTGCTTATTTTTCTAATGAAGTTGTTTAATATATCTGTTAATGTTACTTTGAATATATACATGTGCTTTCATATTGTGTTCATATTGCATAACAAGTAGTTCAAATTTTGCAATGCTATATAATGTTAATTTGAATATTGTTAATTTGAATACTCTGACCCTTTGTTTATCAATTTGTAACAGGATGGTCCCTCCCACGCAGCACCGATAATGTTAATTTGAATATTGTTAATTTGAATACTCTGACCCTTAGTTTATCAATTTGTAATAGGATGGTCTCTCCCACGCAGCACCAGTTGTACCTCCTTCTTGAGGTGGAGTACGGCGACCCGCACCGAGCATACTTCTTAGATTGACACCGACGCAGAGGTGCCCTTGCCTCCTTTGAGGCTCCGCACGCACACCAGGACGCACCAGTGGAACGAGCGTTACGCGCCGTACATACGACGTGCCGGCTTCCTCGAGCTTGTCCGTGTTGTCAACTACGGCCTTCCGCCCCTTGACCCAGCACTACTTACTGCAGCTGTAGACAGATGCGAGTGCCTTTATTATACGTAAACATTCTTATAACAAATTTGAGGTAACTAACAGTCATTCTATTCTTATAACAGGTGGAGGCCTGAGACCCACACGTTCCACCTACCTTGCGGCGAGATGACCTTGACCATGCAGGACGTGAAGGCTATCTTTGGCCTTCGGTTGGGGGACTTCCAGTGACAAGTATAGTTGACAACGATCACTGGTGGGAGTTGGTGGCTCAGTTCACTGATTTTCTTTCACCGGACGACGAGGTTTTCAAGAAAAATAAGTGAGCAATTCAAGCCTATTTAATACTTGCATTGCTTTCCTACAGCCATCGGGTCTCATTTTCTTTGGTGAATTTTAGAAAAAGTTCCGGTGTTTCGTCGTCGTAGATCACAGAGCGCTTTGATTACTTGGACCCACAGGTTGATGAGGCTCAGATCGACAGGTTCGCTAGAGTGTGGCTCTAGCACTTCCTTGGTGCTTTCCTATTCCCAGAAGCCTCGGGCAACACCATCAGCTGGATCTTTCTTGACATACTACGCCAGCTGTAGGATAACATAGCGGCGTACAGCTTGGACAGTGCAGTCCTGGCATGGACGTATCCACAGCTATGCGTTGCTTGCCGTCGCACCTCAGGATATGCGAACCTTGGGGGTTGCTCCTACCTAGTCCAGGTTTGGTGTTGGGAACGATGGCCCGTTGGGAGGCCTCTTGTTACTGGTTTCCTGTAAGTAGTTCAGTCCACTATATTCTTCGAGGCAGTTACATATGATGAAATTATTAATGGCTAATTCATTATCGTGTTCAATGCAGCATTAGAACGGGCATGATACACTGCCTACAACTCTGTATATCTAGACGCAAGCAGAGTTAGTTAGAGGGAATGTGAGGCGCAAGTACAGGGAGTACACGGACTATCTCGACGTCCTGACACAGCACCAGGTTACGCTCTCTTTACTATCATACATGTGTCTTGTTCGATGTACACTATATCACAACCTAACTCAATTACGAAATGTTCAGGTGCATTGGTGTCCTTGGGATGCTCCGGAGCTCCAGGACTGAGTCTTGTCACTAGGGATGAGTCAGGCTTGTATTGCTGCAACGTCCCTCTTATTTTCTTCCACGTGGTCGAGATTCACTTGCCCATCAGGGTTTGTAGGCAGTTTGGAAGAATGACAGGCTACCCATCACCGCTTTACTTCACCAACCAAGAATTACACGGGTGCATTATCGATTAATAACAAAGCTACACTTCAGATGTGTGTATGGTACAACTAACAATCGTTTTGTCGTAGGTATGACCACAGGAAGAGGTACACAACCAAGGATTGGCGCGTGACACACAACGCGTACATCCAGTTGTGGCAGACCAGGGACCGACAGCCGGTCGATGCGGGTCCCCCACATGACCAGCACACCTTCGACGAGTACCTGCGGTGGCTTCACAGGTCTACGAGGACACATATCAAACTCTCATACACTGAGGAGACAATTAACAAGGACGACGAGGAAGATGTGATCGAAGATGTGTACGACGTTGCCACTAGGGACGACACACAACTACAGAGAGCTCCGCTTCAAAGATACGTGGTAAGATACTCGAATGGTACAATTTGTTATCCATTTGGTATTAAGTATGTGTACTAAAACTGTCCAACCACGTTTCTATACCCAGGCGACACAATTGTCAAGGCTGTCCAACGAAGCAGCATTTCGGCTTCACGAGTCTAGAGGGCAGGGGCCAGGCGTTCTCGAGGCTTTTGTGGAGGTAAACATAATCTTGTCCGTTCTAAAAATATTTCTTTAGTGTATATGTATTTGGGAAATGCACTAACTTTAACGCCTATTCATGTAGAAGGTGAAGCGGAGCCGCAGGAAGCTAGCTCAGAAGTCTACATGGACACTCCTTAGGTGGAACCCGATTATCCAGCGCGGTCGGGTGCCACGTCTTATGGCTCTTTGAGGACACCAGCCGTCTCTTCTCAGCTGGTGACAGGTGCCGCTTCCACTGTGCGTACACCACCACATTATAGCGCTGAGAAGGACCCTGCAAACGAGGAGGAGGACGACGATGACGACCCCCCGGGCTTCTGCATACAGCACCACAAGTTGGACCCTTGGCAGCAGGACGAGATCAGCATGTCTCAGCTAGGTGGTGCCCTGCTTGGTACCCAAGGAGCCTCACAGGTAGTAACAAAGGTAGTTTCTTTAAATACGTGGGCTCCATGAACTAACGATCATAAAGATTATAAGTAATCGTGCATATCATATACTTATAGGGTACGAGCCGTAAGCACCGGCAACGCGACCACACCGACGTTGGCTACACTCCCAATGTGTTGCCTACAAATCCGAAGAGACAGAGGCGTCCGAGGAATCCTTACACTCCTGGTACTTAGTTGGTTATGTCGAACTTATGTCGAACGAATATTGTCGTCCGAAACTTGCAGACTCATGAACCAATAAAAATGTTATGTGGCAACTTATCAAGTTACGCACGGACTCTATTTATTTGCTTCATATTCATTTCAATGCATCGCAGCAACACTTGTAGTTGTTTACAAAGACCAACAAAGACTCCGTTTAATTGCAATTGAGGCCGACGGCCGCCGCCTGCCTCAGTCTCCGCCGCCGAGGGCCTTAAGCGCATTAGTGACACGTCGTCAGGTCGTGGGCGCGCGAGAACCTAGGCTTAGGGTTGCGTGCCAAACATGACTCTTAAAAAAAGAACGCTAGAGTAAAGTGATACCATTATTGTTATTTTACATTGATATGATACTAATAACATAAATTACACGCTACTATTTTAAAATACAAGGGAAACATGCAAGATATATATGCCAGCCAATCGTATTCGAAATAATTTCACTCGATTTTGTTCATTTTAGAAATTCTCAACGCATTCGCTATTATTAAAAAAACTTGAATGCATAGGAGAGCGACAAACGGATGGGATCACTTAAGATCGACCATAGGTAATCCGAGTACATAATACATGGGTACAATAGATCAATAGATTAAATGAAAAACAAGACAACACAATAAAAGTTCTAGTATAGCTACATTGATCATTAATAAAGCAAGAAACTAACAGACGACGCAATAAAAAATCCTCAGTCAGAAACATACTGAGTACACAACTCGTCGTTCGAGTATCAATCCTCTACCACAACCCTGTTGTTGTGGCTAGGGTCACATGCATTGCCCTGATCTGCCTTTCGCCTATAGTAAGCGGCCTCCGCTTCATCTGTGACCCCCGAGGAGTGGGCGCTGACAAAGACTTGGGAGTGGCGGGAGGGCACGGCGCAGAGAAGTCGCCCACCGCGTTAAGGCGGGGATAGGGGAGCGGCTCATGAGCGATATTTACCTGGCTTTGCCGCGTCACCGATCAGTGCCCCAGTCGTCGCCACGTCATCCCTCTCGCCGCGCCACCATACATGGCGCGGCACAGGTGTTTCGCCACGCCAGGAAAATAGGCGCGGGCAAAAGTGTTAGTTTTGGAAAAAAAATTAAAACGATATTAGATTTAAAATTAGTTTACAAAAAATGTTAAAAATTACCCCCCCAAAAAAAAGAACGAACTCCCCAATTCCCTGCCACATTAAGTTAGTTCCGGTTTTCTTCGCCTAGAGTAGTCAAATTAAGTTAGTTCCAATTTTCTTCGCCTGCAGTAGCCAAGTAGCGATTACATCTGGAAGATGCTCATTGAGTCTTTCTTTTCTTCCTTCTACCAGTTTTTGATTCACTCCCTGCAGAGCAAAGGATACAAGTTGCATGACATGAAAGCTAGATAGGGCATCACCCGACTCTCTTTAAACAATTCTCTCAAAACATGGAAAGCATGCTCTTAAGGACAACAGAATGCACCAATGAGATTCAGAACAAACATTTGGGCACTGCTGGTGAATCAAGACCAACGACAGCTGCGATCAAACCATCCTACAAGAACAAGGCACTTCATGAGACTCTAAGCACAGAAAAGGCCTTGGGAAAAAAAAAACATTGCACAAAATCAGAATGTCATGATAATTCACCATTTATCTGAACTTTCTTCGAGATTGTCTCGCATTGCAAAATAAAAAATACCATGACAGTAATACACGGCTGGAGACTTACTAAACTTTGAAATGCATATAATAGGACAGGCATCTTTACTAACCAACTTTGACACTTGGTTTATACCTCTACTTCACAAACTGCACAACTTCCAGGGTTGTATTTTAGTGAATTATCATATTTCATTCTTGCCGCTGCGATAAAATTTATGTTAGTCATATAATTACCTCTATCACATACTGAATTAAGGGATCTAGAAATGTGCACAAATTCAGTGGCATTTAGCAAATCGCAGTATTTCACATTGTCTCTTAGTGCAATGGAAAGTTCATCTGCTAAATTTAAGATATCATGTATTACCTATACCTTTATTACCCTTTCAGTTAAGATATAAGAATAGTATATGTGTTCTTATACCACAAAGTAGCTCAGATTGAACAACATAACAAATAGAGAAAACAAACAAACCTTTCCATAGACAATGCTTTGGCACCCTTCATCCAATTTGGGTACTATTACGCGACCTGAAACAAAATTTCCATTTCTTTAGCATGATGAGTACTTGGAATGAAGCAGCAGAGACAAACAACCAAAGATTATTGCTAAAAAAAACAACCAAAGACATGCCTGATCTGGTTCTTTTAAGTTTGAGATCTTCAGGTGTGGACATAGACAACGCTGTGGCCTTATCACGAGTAAGCGGAGACCAAAGGACCTAATGCAATTCAGGTACATTGCAATAAATACACATAAAAATATCAGTCTCATGCTACTGAGTCAAGATAAATTATTCCAACATCAGAATCTGTACTTGAAGCATGACCATGTTAGCGGAGGGAAGGAGTTGGTAGAAATTGGGGAAGAATTGGGAAAGGATTGGGGAAGAAGAAAGGAATAGGTAGCTTGGAGACGCAATAGGAAGGAAGAGGGCAGGTTGCTATTGATTCAGTTCAGATAGTTGTTGTTGCCTCTCCCTCCTCTCGTGTTCGCCCCGTTTATACAAGGCATAGCCCGGCGTGAACCCACAGGCGCAGCTGCGTCTATCCTATGGTTCATGCCCACTCCGGTCCACTAATGAGCACGCTTGCGCGCCTGGTTCGGCCTCCACACGTGGAACGCGACGCGCCTGGCTTGGCGGTGACCGCGTCATCTTCCGTTCCTGACGCGCCCTGGTCCATGGTGACTGCGTCATGTTGGGCTGGATCCTCCGTGTCGCTGACAGACCACTTTTGCAATAGCTCGATCTCAAGCAAAATACTTAGGGCCCATCTGGTTGGCAGAATAGGACATGAATCCAGCAACGGGCTAGGCAAACAAATCTGGCTGGTAGCCAATGGAGATAGTGGAGTGAGGCCAGGTCATCGCTGACAAGTGAGCCAACACAGGCTAATAGTTAGTATGGCTGAGCACGTGGGGGAGAGCGTATGGCTCCACCCTCCTGTGCTTGCGTGCTGCTCCTGCTCATGACATGGCTGTGAATCTGTGATGGGGTTTCTCATGTAAAAGGCCTGGCAGCAAAGCAACGAGCTGTGTCCTTTGTGCAGTTGGATTTCTGGGAGCAAGTAACAAATTACCAGCTAGAATTTATTTGGTCAAATTTCGATTTCCACAGTTCCTCAGCTAAGCAAACAAAATAATTATATTGTAACCCATTTCTGACTCCACATGGGATCAAATTGGATCCTCCATACAATTCATCCAGTCCAATTCCAGAAACCAAATGAGAGTGTTATAGATCCATATCCCATCATGAAGTTACAACTGTAAAACGCTAATGCTTGCAATCATGGACTTTCTAAAGTTTATGACAACAATGAATAAAAAATTGCACTTACATATGAAGCTGGGTTCCTGGTCCGTGGAGATCTTGTAGCACTTCGACACTTTTCATGTGAAGATATTCGTTTCTTTGGCTGGCCTACAGGCTGCTTTCCAAGACACAGATCAATCAACTTCTTCTATATGCATATACATAAAATGAGTAACACAAATAGGATAATAGGCTGAAATACGCTAAATATGAAAATGTCATCATGAGTAAACAGCAAATAGGATAACAAGTCATTAATAACAATATAAAATACTGCACGATGCCTATTAGCTAACATGCTTAAGCTCCTGTGGACCACAATCAAGACTTGCACATCTGAATAAGCTGAAGTTTGCATTAATTGATCCAATACTACCTTCTTATTTGAAGCTATGACCTTCCAGGAACCTTGACTCTTCAAAGAAGCCACAGGAGTCTTTTTACGATCTAAATTATAAAAAATAGACACTATTAGAAACACCAACGAAACGATGTATTTGCAGGATTAAATATCTGTTCTAACATAATTACATGTGCCTGTTGCTGGAGTACTGTGTACCAATTCACTGACTGCATTATTAGTACATTCCACTGTAGGAGCTAAAGAAACATCAGTAGCAATGTCATCATGGCCTCTTTCTCTTGAAGGGCTGCCCGTAACCAAGCCAATTTCCATGTTATTCACCTCTTTTGATGTAGCTGTGTATCTTTCACTGTCATGATTTGAAGCAGCAGCATCTTCATTTGGTGGAATATCACCATCACAAATGTATTCCTCCAATATTGGTGTTCCATTTGACAGACAGAAGGAGTTTTGCATATCCAAATAAACTGAAGCTGGCATTTCTTCATCTACTGCTGCCTTCTCAGTCAATGACATGTGCTGAGTCCCTTTACGGCAACCACGAACCTCCAATGAAACTACTGGAGTTCTCTGATCGCCTAAATTAAGGGGACACAAACACTATAAGAAACATCACTGAAACGAAATATTTGTAGGAGAGAAGGAAATAGAAGCCTCTAAATAATCTCCTTTACACTTACCTGTGGCAGCTTCACTTGAGGCAGCAGCATTTTCATTTGTTGCGATATCACCATCACAAGTATATTCTTCAAATCTGGGTGTTCCATTTAATAAATGTGATGATTTTTGGAACACAGCACCATTGTGTGAGAAACTTCCCAAAATGTCTTGAAATTTGCTAATCAAATTTCTCCCCTGCTCAAATTTCTCCATGTAAAATTGAGTGGAGTCCATTCCAGAATTGCACGGCTTGCAACTTTGCCACCTGTCTGGAAATCCATTCAGGAAGTCACTACAGACCTGCATGCATGGTTTGCAGTCAAGACCAAGGCATTCGTGAGAGAAGTGCATGGCTGAATGATCCTTTTGGACATGCATTTTGGCAAAACATTTTTTTTGTTCATGATACTTTCTAGATTGAAGATATTGCTCAAATCTAGAATAACTTTCAGCCAGAGGAACACAGAAATAGAATCACAGGATAGATGGAGAAAACAAATGATATCATGTGCTCTTGATACTGTATTCACTTAAAAAGTTATCCAAATACACATTCAATTGGTACCTGAAACAAGAAACAGAAAACAGGATGTGCATACCGTAGTTGAATATCCATTGTTATATCGCTTGCGAAACTTTGGGGAACCATGGATGCTAAGTAAGGTCCCATCCTCAGTCTCGAGAAGAAGAGGCATATGGCGCTTCGCAATAGGTGCAGGAGAGTATTCATGAAGTGTTTGATTCCTGTCAGAGCAGGCAATAGATAATTATTTTTATCAGCAAGAGAATCCGTAGCTCTTTCAAGAGGAAAAGCAGCCTACTTCAGAAAAACCGTAGTCATGCTTAAATACACAAGCAGCATGATTTATGGAAGTTTGACCATGCTTCAGTCAAGGCGTTAATCTCTACTCCTAAAATGTTAAACTGGAATTGTTCACACCCCTATCGTTCTGCGACTCCCTGCCTCCCCGACCCACAAACCCACCGGCTCCCGTGAGCGTCCGTAGAGAAAAAACGACTTGACTACTTGGGCTGAGCACCCTAACCGCGCTACCGCCGCCGCCCGATAACGAAGCGCCCCGACGCCGAGCTCCTCGACTCGCCCCTCCGCTGAAGCGCCCTAACCGCGCACCGCTGAAGCGCGCCCGGCGCCGCCGCCATCGGGGCACCAGACACGGACGCTGGAAACGGCGCCCTCCTCTCCGCCGCCCGCCATCTCATCTGTGGCGGGCGATGGCGGCGGGTACGCCGGCATGGGCCCCGCCCTACTCGACGGCAGCAACCCGGGCGCACCTCTGTCGCGCTCGTCGTCTAGCTGCCGTCTGGCATTTCACCGTCGTCGTGCTCGTCCTCACCCTCTCAGCCGTGCGTGCATATAAGCTCTCTTGTAAGCAGTTACTGCTGGGCTTCCTTGGGACCTTGTCCTAAATGGTTTAGCTCTCTTGTATTATGTTGATTTCTATTTGCAGGTTTAGGTGGTGAGGAGAAATGGATGTGGAGAAACCTGCTTCCAAGGGGCATGGTTTCTTTGCCGTCTTCGATTGGGGAAAGAAGTCTAAGAAGCGCCTGTTCGTTGGGAGCACCAGCAGTTCTCCAAATCCGAGTAAGACAATTTGCAATAGGAGTATGCTGCTAGCTTATGAAACTACTTACATTAGGACTTTGAATGACGCAAAGGCAAGGCCTGTGCACCCCTACATTGACTGGTGCACAATGTATCTATCTTATGAAATTAGGTATTTTGAAAACCTGAGTTGCATGTGCCCTTTTTGCATTGTGATTTTTCAGATCTCATAGCTGCAAGGCAATTCAACTAATATATCAAAGAATGAAAATAAATCATGTTATTTTCTCTTCATTTTGTCCAGAAAGGTCACATTCAGCATAACAGGTCCCAAGCGCTAGTAAAGGAGGAGGGTTGTGTTAGGCACGGCGAGCCAATGTAAAAACTTAGCCACCTTTATGGAGATGAAACCCAAAAGAATCCCGTTAGGCGTAACCCTCTTAGCGACGCGCCATGTCGTAACCCGGCTATGGTGTTAAATGAGCAAGGGTCGGGTCATCACCCCGTGACGCGCCGTGTCGCGATCCGGGCACGGTGTCAAGTGAGCAAGGATCGGTCGTCGCATCTTAGTGACGCGCCACATCGGCGCCGGGTGTGGTGCAAAATGAGCAAGAGTCTTCACACCTACCTCGGTGGGTGCGAAGGGTAAGGAAGCTAGTCGAGCCAACTAGGATCCGTTTAGTTAGCTAGAATGTAGGGTCACTTACGAGTAAGTTAAGAGAGTTAGTGGATACAACGGTTAGGAGACATGTAAATATCTTATGCGTCCAAGAGACTAAATGAAAGGGGCAGAAGGCGAAAGAGGTGGACAATACCGGCTTCAAGCTCCGGTACACAGGGACAACTTCAAATAAAAATAAAGTAAGAGTTTTGATTGATAAGAGCCTCAAGAATGGTGTGGTGGTGCCGTGGAGGTGAGAAGGAAGGGGATAGGATCATCTTAGTTAAACTTGTCATTAGTGATATGGTCTTAAACATAATTAGTGCGTATGCCCCCAAGTAGGCCATGATGAGAGTGCTAAGCGGCTTTTCTGGGAAGATTTAGATCGCTTGGTTAGAGTTGTCCCTCGTAGCGGGAAGCTCTTTATAGGAGGTGATCTTAATGGCCATGTAGGTACATCAAGTGCAGGTTTCGAGGCGGTTCATAAGGGTTTCGGATATGGTAGTAGGAACCAAAAGGGAGAGGAAGTCTTAAACTTCGCTATAGCTTTTGATCTGATGATGGCTAACACTTTCTGTCGTAAGAGACAGTCCCATTTAGTGACCTTTAGTAGCGGCCAGTACTCTAGTCAAATTGACTTTGTCCTTACAAGGAGGGATAAACGAACATGCGTGGACTGTAAGGTGATACCTGGAGAATATGTGGTCGCTCAACACAAGCTGGTGGTGGCTGACTTCCACTTTCTGGTAAAAGCTCGTGGGAACAAACTAAGCTAGGGTTGCTAGAACGAAGTGGTGGAAATTAAAAGGAGAGGCATCAATGGTCTTTAAGGAAAAGGTCATTGAAGAGACCCTTGAAAGGATGAAGGCGATGCAAACAACATGTGGGAGAAGATGGCAATATGCGTTCGGAAGGTTGCTTCAGAGGTGCTTGGAGTGACCAAAGGGAGCGGATGCAACTCGAAAGACACTTGGTGGTGGAATGAAGATGTGCAAAAGGCTATTAAGGAAAAGAAGTAGTGCTATAAGCGCTTGTATCATGACAAGTGTGCAGACAACATAGAGAAGTACAAGGTGGCAAAGAAGACTGCAAAACGAGCGATGAGTGAGGCAAAGGGGCGGGCCTATAAGGACCTTTACCAACGTTTGAGTACGAAGGAAGGAGAGAAGGACATTTGTAGGATAGCTAGGACTCGCGATAGGAAGACAAGGGACTTCAACCAAGTCAAGTGTATAAAGGATGAGAGAGAGCAACTCTTGGTGAAGGAGGATGAGATCAGACAAAGATGGCAAGAGTATTTTGATAAATTGTTCAATGGTGAGAACGAGAACACCGTTCAGGTGGACGACTCGTTTGATGACACTAACACAATGTTTTCAAGTCATCCGATTAATCACGATTATCGTCCTAATCGGTCCCTGCTGACTTATTAGGGGTACCGTCGACTTTTACAAGTCGTCCGATTAATCGCCATTAATCGTGATTAATCGTCCTAGTCGGTCCCATGGCGACTAGGTTCGACTGGACGACTTGAAAACATTGCACTAATAGGCGCTTTGTGCGGAGGATTCAAGAATCGGAGGTCAGAGAAGCCTTGAAAAGGATGAAAAAAGAGAAAACGATGGGCCCTGATGGTATCACAATCAAGGTGTGGAGATATCTCGGAATATAGCTATAGTACGGCTAACAAAGATGTTCAACAATATCTTTCGATCGAACAAGATGCCTGAGGAGTGGAGAAGAAGCATGTTGGTACCAATATACAAGAACAAGGGAGATATCCAAAGTTGTATTAATTAAGTTGATGAGCAACACTATGAAGCTATGGGAGAGAGTCATCGAGCAGCGCCTGCGAGGAACGACGCACATATCAATAAACCAATTTGGTTTCATGCCCGGAAGATCAACCACAGAAGCAATCTTGTTAATAAGACAAGTTATGGAACGGTTTTAAGAGTAGAAGGACCTCCACATGGTTTTCATTGACTTGGAGAAGGCTTATGACAAGATACCAAGAAATATTATGTGCTGGGCTTTGGACAAACATAAAGTCTCATCAAAGTACGTGACCCTCATCAAGGACATGTACACCAATGTTGTGACTAGTGTTCGAACAAACGATGGTAACATAGATTACTTCTCGATTAAAATTGGACTTCATCAAGGGTCAGCCTTAAGCCCGTATCTCTTTATCTTGGTAATGGATGAGGTTACCAGGAACATACAAGGGGATATCCCTTGGTGTATGTTGTTCGCTGATGATGTAGTGTTAGTGGACGAAAGTCAGGCGGGAGTAAATAAGAAACTAAAGTTATGGCGGCAGACCCTTGAGTCTAAAGGTTTTAGATTGAGCAGAACTAAAACCGAATACATGAGATGCGACTTTGGCGAAACTGCACAGGAGGAGGGAGATGTGAGTTTGGAAGGTCAAGTAGTGTCTAAGAAGGATACCTTTCGGTATCTGGGATGGATGCTACAGAAGGATGGAGATATTGATGCGAATGTTAACCATAGAATCAAAGCAGGGTGGATCAAGTGACGACAAGCTTCTGACATTCTCTGTGACAATAGATTACCACCAAAGCTAAAAGATAAGTTTTATAGAACGGCGATTAGACCGGCTATGTTGTATGGAGCAGAATATTAGCCTACAAAGATTTGACATGTTCAACAACTGAGTATTGTAGAAATGCATATGTTGCGATAGATTTATGGTCACACAAGAATGGACCGAGCTCGGAACAATGATAAACGTGATCGCCTAGAGGTAACACCAATTGAAGAAAAGCCTGTCCAACATCGGTTGAGATGGTTTGGCCATGTCCAAAGGAGACCTACAGAGGCACCAATGCATTGTGGAGTCCTAAGCCAAGCTAATAATATGAGAGGTAGAGGAAGACCGAAATTGACATGGGAGAGGCAATAAAAAGAGATTTGAAAGCTTTGGATACCTAGAGATCTATGTTTGAATAAGAGTGCTTAGAAAGCAGCTATTGAAGTGCCTGAACCGTGACTTGGGGCTCTTGGTGGGTTTCAACTCTAACCTACCCCAACTTGCTTGGGACTGAAAGGCTATGTTGTTGTTGTTGCTGCTGCTGCATTAAGGAACTGCTTATATGGATAGATTTTAGCTTCTTACTGAAAGTTCATAAGTTTTTTGAAAAATACCAGTTCTTATACTTCCAGCAGTCCATTGTTGATTCGTATTATGTTAGGGTGGTTAGAGTTTACAAAATGGAATATGCAAATAGATATCTTATGTAACAGAGCCACATAAGAACCTTCTCAAAAATCTTGTTTTACATGTCGTCTGAATCATGCTTGGCACAAGTCGGTCTCCTGTAAATGTTGGTGCTAATTTGCTACCTATTTGAAATCACTGAATTTGCTGCAAGTTAATTAGGCTTAATGTGTTGTTGTTGTTCAGAAGCTTTTCCCCTACAGGTGCTTCCAGTCTTTTTTAACATAAACTAATTAATTGACAGATCTTATACTTGCAGCAGTGGTGGTTGGGAAATGATGGTCTATATGCATATGCATAAAAAACTGGTGATTCCAAGGATGTCTAAATATAGTTGATGTTACAACATGTTATCTCTGCCCATCTGCTCTTGACCTTATGGATTTTTTTGTTCTGCTGCAGATACATTTTGCTGCAAGTCCACTATACAGGAACAGTTTGGTAAAGTATGACAGGAAAACTGGATATTTTCAAATTACTGGCCTGGCAAGGATTTCCGGTTATTACTATATTAGCCATAGAACTATTCCAACAATGAGTGCCTGAAGCATACAATTGGGGATATTGAGATGTGCTGACTGTTTTCTCTGAGTGATAATTTGAGCATGTTGGTGCCAAGCTAGATGAGAAAATGGAACTGGCAAAGCTTTTGGACTGTGTGCTGATTCCTGTGAAAGGGAGCTTGGAGGATCCTA